TAAAGGCCTTCACAGACCACATAAACACAGTGGACCCAAATATCAAGTTCACCAGGGAAGACACCTAAAAACAACGAGCTGGCTTTCCTGGACTGTGCAGTCATCATAGGATCCAGCAGCAGCTTAGGAATACAAATCTACAGAAAACCTACACATAGTGATCAATACTTGTGGTTTGATTTTCATCACCCATTGCCAATACAGTCGTGCCCCACTTTATGATTGCCCCGCATTATGATGAAACCGCATTACGATCACGTTTTTGTGATCGCTTTTGCGATCGCAAAACGATGGTCTGGATAGGTTTTTTTCGTTTTACAATGATCGGTTCCCTGCTTTGGGAACCGATTCTTCGCAAAATGACAATTTTCCAACAGCTGATCAGCAGTTTCAAAATGGCCACCGGGTAAATAAAATAGCTCCCCGCTGCTTTCTGGGACAGATTCCTTGCAAGACAGTCACCGAAAATGGCCGCCCTATGGAGGATCTTCGCTGGACTGTGAGTTTCCAGCCCATTGGAATGCACTGAAGTGGTTTCAATGCGTTTCAATTGGCTTTTTATTTTCGCATTACGACATTTTCATTCTACAGCGATTTCGCTGGAACGAATTAATGTCGTAATGCGAGGCACCACTGTATAAACTAGGGGTCATCAGGACACTAAACCACAGAGGAAGAAACATCCTCACCACTACAGAAGCCAAGAAGAAGGAAGATGGACATCTGAAGACAGTCCTTAAGGCCTGTGGATGTCTAAAATGGGCCTTGAACAAGGCAACGGCCTGACCCAGCAGGACAATGGAACAGTCCAAGACTCAGTGATAATGGAAGAACCTGGTCATTTCTTACATGGTGGAAAATACAACAGGACCAATATAGTATATGTGATCCAATGTGAAAATGAGTGTTCAGAGATTTACATTGGAGTAACAAAACAGCCACTAAACAGAAGAATGGCCCAGCACAGGAAGAGTAACAGCTCAGGACCACAATCAGCAGTGTTCCTTTATTTGAAGGACAGAAGACATTCATTTGATGACCAAGATGTACTCATTTGATTGAGAAGATAGGTGGTTTGAGAGAGTGGTCAGGGAATGTGGGGGTGCCACTCCCAAGGTTACTAAACTGTTGGCTTAATCTACAGTAGAGGGCAAGCCCTCCTGGATGATGTCACAGCTGCTTCTGAGGGGCATGACTACCCACTATTCTTCTTCTTTCTCATAGGTGCTAGAAAGCTTGCATAGAGCCTTTCCTTAGGCCAATTATAATGGCATGATGTAATCATTGTCCTATCTGAACTCTGTAACCTATCTGTATACTGTCCACTATCTGTGAGCTTGTAATGTCAATAAAAGCACAGTCCTCCTGGGGGCAGGGCAGAATGCATTGGCAGAATTCATTGGGAACCCATTCGGTGTTATTCTGCTTCTTCTACTAGTCGCCCACCAGGAACACTGCTGGCAGACATCCCTGTGTGTGTGGCAGACTTCTTTAACGTCTATCTTTAAGAGACTATTTGCTGTCCTAATTATCTGGTGATCATCACAAAGCCCATCAGCCTTCTCATTTCGTGACTCCAACAAGGAAGACCATTTATGTGCATATAGAAAATCCCTCTCAACAGGGGTGGAGGCCTTAGATAGAATCTGTATCCCATTTATCATGTCACCCTTTCATCCGTCCCCTGAAAGATCATGACCACACCCACCAGAAAGACTACTGCTAACGACTGTTAATGACCCTTGACAGTAAGTGGAGGAGGACAGCAGAAGTGGGGTTTTCACTCATCACCTGTCCTTTGTTCATCTAATGAATCTATTCAGATCAGGGGGAAGTGAAACCAAGGTGGAGAATATATCAGGGGTCGCCTACCAACTCTTATCAGACTGAAGAAGCTATTTGGATGAGTAGCAAAATGTTTCAACCTAATAAGAAAGAAATCCAGTTGCCATGACTCAACTTCCAGATAACCTCACCTGGATGACTGAGAATTTTCAGAGATATACAGCTGCAGTTGAAGTTGGCATTTGCAAATTACTAACATTCAGACCACAGATCAATGTTCCTCTTTACTATTTAAAACAAGGGTCTCCAAACCTTTGCCCATGAGGGCCACACTGGATATTTCCAACTTTTTTGAGGGTTAAAGGAACAGGAAAGTGTGCACGTGTGCATACGAACACCTGTCTACCCCCCTGCATGCCTATAAACTGAAGAGCCATTATTGTTCCCAATTGTGTTGTGTAGTGCCCTGTTCCCAGATCATAGCCTTTTATTTGCCACATTCTTATTTTTCCCCTAATTGATCCAGAAGCATACTTTTATTGTTGTTTAGTCGTTAAGTCGTGTCTGATTCTTTGTGACCCCATGGACCAGAGCACGCCAGGCCCTCCTGTCTTCCACTGCCTCCCAGAGTTGGGTCAAATTCATGTTGGTAGCTTCAATGACGCTGTCCAACCATTTCGTCCTCTGTCATCTCCTTCTCCTCTTGCCCTCACCCTTTTCCAACATCAGGGTCTTTTCCAGGGAGTCTGACTTGAATTCGCCCATTTCCGTCCATTTTAGTGCACTTATGTCCAGGAGAGAGAAATGAGAGTGAGCCGTTCCTGCAAATAAAAGTGTTGCAGAAAGGGGGGGGAGAGAAAAGAAAAAGAGGGATTGATTGTAGAGGGAAATAATAGCAGGAGAAAGAGTTAAAGGTGGAAATCTGTCTGGTAGAGGAAGGAAAGGGAAAGGAAGAGTTAACCCTACCAGTGTGGGAGGAAGATATAAAAGATCAGGAGAAAATGAGAGTTTTCAGTAAAGCGCAGGGAGAGATAAGAAAAGATGAAGAGTTCAGATATGGAAAAGCAAGTGAGTTATTAGACGACTTTCCCAACTTAAAGGTGAGAGGTTTATTGCCTGACCCAGATCTAAAGGAAAAGAAGGTGACAATAACAGAGACTCAAGAATGGATGGTGGTGTCTTCCCACGAGGGCAAGGTCACTGGAGGAGGGTGATCAGACCCGATGCGACATTCAATCAGCCACCTTGTGAGGGAGATTGGGCTCGACATCCTTGTTGTGGTATATGTGCGGTGAGGAGCACTCTGCTGAGGAAGCCCATGGACAAAGAGTGATTTAGACCAGTCCCTCAATAGACTCTCCTGAACCACCATTTGGACTCTTACCTTCCCCCTATGAACAATTACCTAACCTGAGTTGTTTTCACTCCGTTGAAGTCTCCAACTGTTAATGCAAATAAATCAGTTAATCGTTCAAACAAGTCTCCATGGTTATTTCCTGCCAAAAAAGAGGAACTGCTCCAGTCTCCTTAATGAACTCAATCACATATATGTATTAAGCATATTCTTTTATAGGAATCTTTCTACACACTATGCCACAGGGAAAAGAAAGGTTCTACAGGACCCACCTTCATATGTGCTGCCCTTTTATTTGTAGAAAAGTTGCCTAGCTCCTACATCTTATGTATCAAAGCTGTTTCAAGTTTGTTCACTGTTAGGGTGGATAATATTGAATCATTTGACAGCTGCTCTCCTCTAGAGTACTGTTGCAACATAGGGCAGGCTGTCAGAAACAAAAGTTTGTGCTCACCACTGATGTCAAACAAAAATGTTTAACAAAGCACAAAAAAAATCGGATCACCCACTCATAAATTATTCTTTCCCTTTCTGCTGAAGTACAGATTTAAAACTTTAAAAAACCTGCCCACTGAATGGCTTAGTTAATTACCTTCCTTTCAAACCATTTTTATATTGCCCTGAAAGAGACACAAGGATCTTTGTCTCATGGAAATTAAAGTCTACTTTAGTAGCCGTCTAGGAAATGAAAACATTTGGTAATACAGTAATTAATGCATAGGGTTCCTATTCAGAATCTATATGCAGACTTTAAGCCTGCAGAAGCCAATCAAGGCTATGCATTTAAGCTTTTCTATACCTCCTGTCCCATTGAGAAAGAAAACTTGCTGAGCCTGGGAAATGTTCTGATAGGATCCATCACCCAGGGAGAGCTCCCCTAGCTAAGGAGACTTTAATTATTTCCTTTCTTGTAGGGAATGCTAATCCTGTGGTGCCAGAGCCAAATATGATTGTGTCGGTTGCTTGAAGAAAGACATTTGGTTTTCACCGAGAAATTATTCCCCCCCCCCCAATATTAACAAGAATTAAGGCCAGTTAAGTCAATGGAACATATTTATGAGTAGTCATGCATAGGATTCCAACGTGAAGTTTTTTTCTTTTTAAAAAGACATATAGAAGACACAATAATTTGACATACAAAGTTGTTCTTATCCATTGTGTTTCTTAGATGCTTTTTCTTAAAAGATATTTTTCAGCTCTCAATATTCACAAGTTCCAAACCAGGATAGTTGTTGAAATGGCATGCACAGATAACATGCTGAACAAAATGTAGGAATAATTATTTAGCCTAAGGTCAACAGTTAAATGAGCTAAACACCCCAGGATCCAGTTTCTTTCACTTCATGTTTCCTTCTTCCAGCACCATCTTTCTGGAGGTTTCAAAGATTAAGGTCAGGGAGATGCCCTGACATCTATGAAATATTCTCCCCAAATTATTATTTTTTCCCCAGTGCCCACTTAAGATCATTCCCTGTTCCAGGTGTTTAGCTAATTTAAATGTTGACCTTAGGCCAAATGAATATTCCTATATTTTGTTCAGCAGTACACATATAGACGTCATTTTGCCTCCCGTTCATTCATAGCTATGAAAGAAAGGCAAAAAGAACTGGCGAAGTTCTTAACCCAAGCTATGGAGCAGGTTGCCCGCCACGCGCACGCGCAGTTCCCATCCAGCTGGTGCCCAGACCTCAACACGGAGGACGCACAGGGATAGCCGTGGAAAAGGCGAGAGAGAACAGCAGCGGGGAAAATAAAACTCCACCCACCTCCTTCCTTCGCTCCGCCCTCTCCGCCCCACCAAAGGGGACCCGGCCGCGCCGGGAGCCTACTCCGCGCGTGCGCACTGAAGCCTCACCCCGACGGACGCAGTGTACCCTGGGTCCGCCTTTTCCTCTCATCCTCGCGTCCAAGATGGCGGAGTACGACTTGACGATCCGCATCGCCCACTTCTTGGACCGGCACTTGGTCTTCCCGCTTCTTGAGTTCCTTTCCGCCAAGAAGGTGAGTCAAGGGGAGCCCCTTTTCGTCACAGGTAGCGGCCGGGGGAAGGTGTGTGGGTGAAGCGAACGGCGGGGAAGGAGGGAGGGAAGCCTCGCTGCCGCCTGGAGGACCGGCTAGGCCGCGGCGCCTTCTTCGAGCGGCGTGGCTGAGGGGGGGCTCTTTTCCTCGCGCCTCGCTTTCGGAGCGGCTTCTTCGGGGGGAAAAGACGGGGAGCGCGTCTCCCTTCAGGCGGCGAAGAGGGACGCTAGCTACCGGTTTCCTGCGGGGCTCCACAGGGCCATAACGGCTTTAAAAGGAGAGCAACGGTTGCGCCCTCTTCTCCGACCGCCTTGAACCCCTTCTAATTTTATCATAATGGCATTTCGGCCCCAGCTTCGGTCACGAGTCCCACTGTTAAAAGCCAGAGCCCCTTAAGAAGGGAAGGCCAGCAGCCTCTGCAGGAAATCTGGTCAGCTAAGTACAGTACTGCCTGTGTTGGCAGAGGAATGGGAAAGAGACGACTATTATCCTGTCTTCTCTTATCTCTTACCTCTTCCCTGATTCTGGCTCCCAAGCAGGCTTTTCTCTCAGTCTGTCGTCCTCTAACTGGGCCCCTTCATCACAGCCCATAGTGATTGGAGGCGATGGGGACTCAGTTGTCTGACACATTACTTCTTAACCTTGGGTTACTCATGTGTTTTTGAATTGCAACTCCCAGAAACCCCACCACAGCTGGTGGTGAAGGCTTCTGGGAGTTGCAGTCCAAATACACCTGAGTAACCCAAGGTTAAGAACCACTGGTCTAACACACCTGCTGTCTGGAGATGATGGGGATTGTAGAGAAGTTTCTTTGGAGGACACCTGTTGGGAAAGTCATCCACAAAACATGATGGAGAAAGGAGTTGCTCTGTGTGTAGTACTCTTGTAACTGGTTAAGTGGTGAACCATCTTTGGTTTGTGTGTCTCACAAATATCTGTAATCTGTGGAAGTGTGGTTATGAATGTTATGATGAATTGGTTGCTGTGGGTTTTCCAGGTTGTTTGGGCCGTGTTCCTAAGGTTTTTTCTTTTCTTCCTAACGTTTCGCCAGCCTCTGTGGCCGGCATCTTCAGAGGACAGGAGTCAGAACTCTGTGCTTTGGTGCAGTTTGCTTGAATAGTTGAGTATTTATAGCTGTGGGATAAGTTTATGTCCTATTCAGGAGATTGGGTGGTTATGATGATCAGCGTGGGTTTTTTTTGGTGAGTGTATTGTTGTCATAAGGGGGAGAGATTATCTGGCACTGTTCTGATAAATTCTTTTCTGTCTATGTATAACTGAAGCGTATACATTGTGGATAAACTACACAGACTATCAAAAATAGTTTCAAGGCTTGCACATGGGAAAGTCATGTTCACCAGTTTCTGACATGGCTGTTCTGGAAACTCTATGTAATGGCTACGGAATTCTATCCTGTAAAAACAAAGGGATTGTGTAGCCTCTTAACAAAATACAGTGGGGTCTTGACTTGAGAACTTAATCCGTATTGGAAGGCAGTTCTCAAGTCAAAAAGTCTGTAAGTCAAGTCTCCATTGACCTACAGTGCATTGAAAACTAATTAATCCCGTAACAGGCCGTTTTTGTTCCATTTTGGTTTTTTTCTGGTCTGTAAGTCAAATCTCAGTCTGCAAGTCAAACCTAAATTTTGCGGCCAGAGAAGTCTGTAACTCAAAAAGTCTGTAAGTCAAGCCGTTTGTAAGTCAAGGGTCCACTGTAACCTGTTTATTATAGCACTGTATAGGGTATTTGTTATATCACAATTGAGTGTTATCTCACAACCTTTTGACTAGTGAAATTGTCAGACACCAAAGTATTATTTTAGTTTACTTATTTATACCGTACTTCTATGCTGCTTTTCTCCCAGCGGTGAGACTCTGGTTTGATAAAGTTATGTTGTGACAAACTTCTGTGTCAGCAGGCAATATAAGACGTGTTTTTACTGCTGTGCTTGCTCTTCTATCTTTGCTGAGGAAAAGAACAGAAAATCCTTGAACTAAATATCACTTCTGCATTGAATTAATCTTAAACAATTCAGCTTTGTTCTCATAATTTTCAGTATGAGAGATAATAGTAAGTTTTCAAATAGACAGTGTATTTGAAGTATTTGAATATTTGACTGTGATTAGGCTTAGAAATTACTCTGATTTTGTATTTTGCTTAACAACTGATGAAATGTATGATGTTTAGGTCCTTATCAATACATTGCTTTTGTAGCTGCTTTCCCTGATACAAAGGGAAAGTAGCTACAAATTGAGTTAGGTTTCTTTCTTTCTTAGAAGGACCACTGTAGCTGACACAATTGGTCTCCGGGTTTTTTTCTAGTCCATGACAGCTCACATTAAAAAAACTGTTTTTAATCTTAAAGGTGCTACAGTATTTTTCTTTTGTTTTATTTTTGTTGTTCAAACTGGGTAATATATCTGCCTCTGATACAAAGTGTAGTGTGATTTATAAATAAATGTTGAAAAGGAAGCAGTACAAAAGCTGTCAAACATCTTTTCATTTTTCAGATATACAATGAAAAGGAACTGCTTCAAGGAAAATTGGATCTCCTTAGTGACACCAAAATGGTAGACTTTGCTATGGATGTCTATAAAAACCTTTATTCTGATGATATTCCTCATGGTAAGCTTTTTGACTATAAATTATGATATGATGTAGTTACTCCTCATATTTAGAATGATACTGTAAGATCTAAAATAAAGATCACTGAATATTCCAGTTGGAAACTTGCAATCTGGAACAGGGAGGCAGGAAAAGATAATTCTGAAACTAGGATAATGCAAGCATTGCTCCAACTCTATGCAAAACATTGCCTCTTCTGACTTCTCCTGGGATGAAAGGAAGCTTTTTCTTGGGGTCTGGAAACTACATCTGGTTTGGGTAACATGGGGAAAAGCTGGGTTTGAAAAAGGCTATGGCTGCTACGTGAGAAGGTAGTGGCTTCAGTGAAGAATGGAAGTGAGGAGAGATGAAGCAGAGGATCTTGGTATAAGAAAGCACTAGAATTCTCTGCCTAAGACCCTTTCCTACTTGTCACCCGTGGCTGGATTTTAGGTGTTGTTAAATAAGTATGAGAAAGAATCATTGTTACCCGGATGGTTCTTCTATCCTTTTCTGTTTTTCTTAATGCTTTCTTAAAACAAGGAGTTATGTCATCCATATTGAACAGCTGCTTCTTCAAGCAATGGATTATAACAGTATTTTCCAATCTTTTTTTTTAGTTGCAACTCCTTTTTATAATAGCCAAGTAACCTGTGATCCGCCACCACATTTGCATAAAAACACATTTTAATGGAGCAAAGAAAACATATTAAAATAGATTTTTAAGAATATAATTCTAAACCAACATGCTAATATTAATGTAATAATACATAATTATGAGGGGTATAAATCCGCCTCTACCAGATGAAATTTGGGATGGAAAAAAATGTCAATATACTTTAATTTATTTTTGAGGTCGCGGGGGAAGTGATGCTCCTTTCATGCCTCTTACCCCAAAAAGCCCCTTCAGTGAAGAGCCTCTCCCCTTTAACCCCAGTTAAACAGTTCTTTTGGAGGCTGAAGTGATTTGCATGCATAAAAGGAAAATACACCTAAAGGTCTACAGAAATTCATTCATTCTGTCTGTCTGTCTATCTGCAACTAAAAATAACCCCCATAATACATTTTGCAGCCCCACTGGAAGATATGAACCCTAGGTTGGGAAACTCTGGGGTATATGATAATTCATACACACTCTTGTTAAGGTTTGTCACCATGGTTGATTATTGGGGTTCCTTGGAGCATTATTTCTTTTGTCTATTCCTGGATCTGTCTGTTGCTGATGATTACCCCTAGTTTCTATTTGCATATTGTCTATATCTCAAGTATTCTATCATTCTGTTGTAATGTTTATGGTTTTTAAAAGTTGATTAGATGATCTTTATATCTGTTATGCATCTATTGCTGACTTCAAACATATGAAACAAAATTGTTCAAGTGTTTCATTTTCCAAAAAGCGTTCTAAAAGTTGGTTAAGCATGTAGTACACCTTATTCACTTATCCTGTTTTGCTGTTCTCTGTTGAATATTGTTTTCTCACTCTGAATTCTGTATTTTTGCCCAGCTTTACGTGAGAAGAGAACCACCGTTGTAGCACAGCTTATGCAGCTTCAGGCAGAAACTGACCCAATTGTTAAGATATTTGAGGACCAAGAAACTACACGGCAAATGCAGTCTACTAGGTAACATTTTTGTTTATTGTCTTTTATAATGTAAGAATGAATTGGTGTAGTTTTGCAAGGTTGCTTTTTGACTTAAATGAGATAATTTTATGTGTTGGATCTTCTAATTACCGTAAGAGATAGCATGTACAGCCCTATTGTGGAAATCAGAGACCAGTGTAGGATAGATAGATGCTCTCAGTCTTCCACTAAATTCTGACTCATAACTTAGAGAATGGCTTCTTAAATCCTGTTTGCGCACCTCCATGCATGTGGAGGATTGCTTTTAATCAACAGTAATTTGCTATGATTTTGAAATAATCTCCATTGCATGTGCAGACCTGTGCAGCAGGATTTTAGCCATAGAGTCATCAAATTTTGTTACACCTATAACCCAATGCATTGGTACTTTAAGTGCATTTTCTGAGTCCCATTGTAGTAGGGACAGAGGTAGGTTAGAATAAAAAAGAAGCAGCTTTAATATTCATGTGCCAGATAAAGTGGAAAGTGCCACTGCTGCAACTCTCTCACCTCTTCCTATTTTTAACCTGTGGATTGTTGCCTTCATAGTTAAAGATCATTCCCAAAAGCCCTTCTTTGTTTGAGAAGATGACTAATACTGATCTCTAGCCTAGAGCGACAAATATTTCAAATCATGGGGTAGAATACTATGCAGTACAGTGTGCAGAAATAGGGACCAGCAGAGTTCCTACTTTAGCTATTTTAATTCCTTGAATGAATCGGACTCTGCTTTTTAAAAGAAACCCTTGCCTTAAGTTTCAAGCTTGTTGATTGGTTTCTGAAGTAAATACAGAGGTCCTTATAAAACTGAAACATGTTATAAGTTTAAGTGTAGAATTTCAACTTTGACTATCTGGCAGGCACATTGTGGAAAACGTGGCCTATATGGATATAGGGAACTGCAGAACAGTGGTGTTAGTTGTTATAGTTAAGTGCCTAAAACCATTGTTCTTGGATAGCTTTGCCTTGGAGATGCATAGAATATAATGTACTGTGATCGCTAAACTGCATGTTCTGTCATGGCATCTTTGATTAAAGGTTTACATATTCTTTTGTTTATTATGTTTTTTCAGTACCAGTTACGCAACCAAAACTTCAGGAAACTCTTCCTTTTTATCTTTATAGCTTTGACTCTGTTGAAACGGCTAATGTTAAATATTACTAAAGGGTTTTTTCCTTTAGGCTTGACTTCTTGTTTAAGTATATCAGTGGAAAATAATTATATTCATTGTTGATGACTGTTGACCTTTTAGTTGCTATGCTTTTGTTCCACATAAGCATTCATGAAGATTTGGGGAATATCTCTGGATTAATTAACATCTAGATGCCCAGGAAAGGGTTCAAGCCATGGAATTATTACTTAACCACCATTGAAGACAATTTATCTGAACCTAGTAATTATCATGTGCTGTCAAACAATGTTCCCTCTTATTTTCCACTAACGTGGAAAAGTGGCACGGGGAGGGGCTGGAGCGGAGAAGATGGCTCCCGGCTCTTTTCTGAGACGGATTCCTCGCAAGAAACAGGGCGTTTGCGATGATTGCTTCCCCCCAATTATCGCAAATGCCCCCATTTTCACACAGCTGATCGGTGGGCCTTTGCGAAGATTGCATGGCCCCACCGATCAGCTGCGCGAAAATGGGGCGTTTGCGATAATGGGGGGAAGCCATCATCGCAAAGCGATTTTTCACCATAGGGAACATCGCAATGCGATCGCAAAATCTTCATCGCTATGCGGATTTGTCGTTAAACGGGGCACCCGTTAAGCAAGGCGCCACTCTGTGTGTGTGTGTGTATATATATACAGTATATATATATATATAAAGTGGTATGTAAGTAGATTCACCTTGACATTGTCTTCTTTGTAGCCAACTGTTTCTAAAAATGGACACAGGAGCCAGGGGCCGCCTTACTGTAAAAATTCATTAGCATTAATATTTATGTGCCCATTGAAATGAATTTCAGTGGACAATTGTGTTTTGCTCTGTTATTTTTGCAAAGAGTTACATAATGATCTGTAGCATCACAGTTAATTCTTCTGTATTCCAGGGATGGTCGGATGCTGTTTGACTACTTAGCAGAAACACATGGTGTAGGTATTGGTTACTTGAATGTATAAAACTGAGTTTTGGCATGTATTTTAAATGTAGCCTGTCATCAACATAGAAAAGAAAATGTAAAGATGGACAAATTACTGTTGCATGTAGTGATTGGTCATGAAAGCATGAGTAGCTTTGGTACCTAATTGAAGAGAACAGTTGCATTGAGGAAACTAGCATGTCCAGTGTGTTTTTTTAACAGTCATTTGGGTCAGCAGAGAGATTATGGGGTGGCAGAGTGGGAAAAGTGAGAGTGGCAAAAAGAGCAAAGGTGTGAGCTGCTCACCTAGTTTTGACTCTGGCCTTGTCCATAGCTTGATTTTGCCCTGCCCATTTCTAGCTTGCAGAATTTGGCACAGTATCCTCAGGTCTCTTGACAGAGAAGAGACTACCCCAGTGTACTCTAAAGTAATATTTTGAAACAGGTTTTTAAATACTCTTTATACTGGTTTATCTTTCAGTTTAGGCAGGAGTATCTAGACACACTCTACAGATATGCAAAATTCCAGTACGAATGTGGCAACTATTCAGGAGCAGCAGAATACCTGTACTTTTTTAGAGTGTTGGTAAGTATTTTTCTAAAATGCTTAGAATATGCTTTAGGAATATTTGAAAATCATAAATTTGAATTTGAGATCCATATGCATTTCTTATTTATATGAATATTAGCTACTCTTTTCATAGTGAATATTTTGTTTAGAAAGCCTTTTTGTGTTTAATTCTTGAGAGCAAATTGGAATTTGATACATCTAAGTCAATGGTAGTGGTATAGTATATGTACAGAACTCTTCTATAAGATGGTGTTATTGCAGGTTATCCAACTGTATAATTATGTTTAAACTTTGTGTTGGTGTACTTGATTTGTTACAGTCATAGATGCTGACCTGACATCCAAGTAAGCCACAGCAGTCTAACAAGGGAGATGTACTCATACAGGAGTTGCCGATATTCTTTGCACCTGTTGTTCTCAGTGACTGTGTCTGTAGATCGTTTGGTACATATCGTCCTGAGGGACCAGTTGCTTGCAAGGAAAAGTGACTAAAGGTGGCTTGATTATCTTTTTAAAATAGCAAACATTTATATGTAGTACCTGCCTGTTGAACTATTCTTGATGTTTAGAACATTAGAGAAGTTCTTCAGAAGAAAGATGTTCAGATTGGTTGCTGTAGGTTTTTAGGGCTGTTTGACCGTGCTCTGGAGGTTTTTCTTCCTAATATTTTGCCAGTCTCTGTGGCCAGCATCTTCAGAGGACAGGAGTTAGAACTCTGCCTGTGTAGTGTGTGGGATAGTTGAGTATTTGTAGCTGTGGGATCAGCTTTTTGTCTTTTTCAGGAGATTGAATGATTATGGTGATCAGGGTGGTTTGTGTAATAAGTGTATTGTTGTGATAAGGGGGGACATGATCTGTCACTGTGATTGAGGAAGGGGGAGGGAGAGTGAGAGAACTGATAGGTTGTCAGGAGCTGGGACAAGCGAAGGGAGTTCACTCTGTTGTCTGGATTTGATTTTACAACTGCTGGTCTTCCGACCTTGCAGCACAGAGGCTTCTGCGGTTTAATCCACAGTGCCACCATATCCTTATTGAAATAGTGTGTACCTTAAACCACTGTTTTTGCTGTTGGCAACTATCTGGTAGATGCCACCACTGCTAATAAAATAACACAAGACATTCCTTGTGTAGGATTGGGAGAGGTATGCATTTGAGAGAGAAGACCCAGTGTTCCATTGTAGTCTTTACAGAGTAAAGTTACTGTGCTGGGCTGGGTGAACATATCATTTTCTTAAGAAATGGAAACACAGTTGGAGAGATCCAGATACAGTGGGGTCTTGACTTGAGAACTTAATCCGTATTGGAAGGCGGTTCTCAAGTCAAAAAGTTCTCAAGTCAAATCTGCATTTCCCATAGGAATGCATTGAGAACCATTTGATCCGTATCTGCTCTTTTCCGTCCATAGAAACTAATGGGAAGCTGCTATTCTGCCTTCGACCACTAGAGGGGGATATTTTGTTTCTTTTTTTCTTAGGTCAAGAAAGGTTCAGGGAAGGCCGGGAAAATACAGTCCAGGCAGTACAGTACCAGGCAGTCTGAAGACTGTCTCCCAATCCATTCTCTAAACGCTGGGAGGAGTGAGGAAGCAGACAGGCACCCTTTTCACTGGCCAACAGTTAACTGAAAGTTCACATTTTGCACTTTCCCTGCCTCCCACGTGGTTTTTTTCAGTTCTTAACTCAAATCTAAGTACTTAAGTCAAGTCAATATTTTCCTATGAGAGCGGTTCTTAAGTCAAAATGTTCTTAACTCAAGCCGTTCTTAAGTCAAGACCCCACTGTATTGAAAGTAGTATAGCATGTCCTTCATTGAAACTAAGTTGCTTTACAACGCTAGTGGAAACTGTATGGAACTAAGCCAGAGTAATAAGTGTAAGTTTTGCTACCTGAACTCCTGCACTCAGAAGTCAAAAGCACACCTACCCATTAACTTGGTATTTAAAATACAGTATATGGTTCCAGTGTCACTTGAGGTTTCTGAAGTGCCTGAAGGGAATTATTTGATACCGCTATTACATCTTAACTTCCCTGATCTCTACTAGTAACATCAAGTGGTGGTACTAGTACAAATGATCCTCACTTCCAGACATTTAATTCTAGACTGCAGAGAAGAAGGGGAACCAATGCCATTTCCATTTGTGCAGCCACATGTATAAGTGATAATATGTCTAGGAATCACCCAACCAAATGTGTAACTAGCAAAACCGTGCATGGTTTTTCTCTGGGTTTATGCACAATGTTCAGCAGTGTGTCAGACTTCAATCTTAAGTGAGACTGAAGCTGTATTCAAACCACAGGGACAGCTAGTTCTTCCTTCTGTTCCAGTTTCAATTGCTTGTGAAAAAATGCCAGTTTATTGTAGAAGGATACATTAATAGAAAAAGACAAGTAGTTGACAAAAATCAGATCCTTTAATTGTAGAATGGGTAACATCCAGTTCTCAGGGTTTTTTTGTTCTAACTTTATTCCGCCCCCCCCCCCGAATCTTAGAACTTGGCCTATGACTGTATTTTTAGAAACCATAAGACAGTGGTGAATATGTTACTATTAATGGTTTGGGAAACTTGCTCAGTATTTGAGCAAAAAATAAAAATAAAAAATCATTTTTAAATAGGTGTTGAGGACAACTGGAAAAGAACCCACTTAACTAATATTTTTGCCATTTACTGTCTGAATAACTTGGTACATTTAGAACTATCTCAGATAAAGCTGACTGATCCTAGAATTATCTGTACCTTGTTGACCTTTCTAGCATTCAAAATTCTCTGATACTATAAGTAACTACTCAGTGGGGAGAATAAGGGGTTGCGGTTAGCTTTGTCTTGCATGAGTTTGTAACTTTATTTGATTTGTCTTACATTAATCTGTGTTACAGTAAGGCCCCAATAAATACATGTGTCAAGGGACCCCAGAACAAGCTATAACTCCTGGAATTGTAAAAGTTCTTTTCTAAGATATTTTGATTTCATAAGTCATATTGCCCACAGCAGTCTCTCTTTAATAGTCTATGCAAACCATGACTGTATGGCCTAGTTTTTGGCCAAATTTACTTCATTCTGATTAGCAGAGATTTTCAGTAGAGTTGGTGGTTTTACCACTTAAGCTTTAAACCTTTCTAAATTAGTGCATGAAACCTAAACTACAGTGAAGTATTGTTGACCAAAGAATTCTTATTTCTTGCACTGAATGTTCTGTGCAGAAGCTTCGGCTGCCAACTCTCCAGGCTTTCCTGCTTTTTTTTAATCTCCAGCTGAATCTCCTTGGAAATGCCTACTGCTGATTGTTTCCTTGAAAATCAAAACTGATTTACTAAATGAAACACAGCTCATTTTCCCCAAATTGTGGAGCAAGTATGTCAGAGGCATATTCTCTCTACTGGTGCCAGCAAGTCTCTAATCAAAATGTTTGACCTAGAGAAATATTAAATTATTGTGGTTATTGTAATTGGATTCACTTATTTGAAACAGGTTCCATCAACAGATAGAAATGCTTTGAATTCACTGTGGGGAAAGCTGGCATCTGAAATTCTGATGGAGAACTGGGATGCTGCCATGGAGGACCTTACACGATTGAAAGAGACAATTGATAATAATGTGAGTTTAATTTTGATCACTTACAGGCAGGTATTTGAAGACAAAGGGCTAATGGTTCTTGGCAAATGTTTAATTCCAACGTATATTTCTCTCAGTTATGGTTAACACTTGATCAAGACTTTTCAGACAACTTTAGCAAATCTTCATATGCTTCCAAGGAAGTGGAAACTTATTTGCTGACTTGATACTTTAACATTTGCTGAAGTCACATACTTTGAACTGGGTGATTTACAGTTGAGAAAGAAGACTATGTTTTAGGACCAGATCTGTTGCAGAATGCTCTTTTTGTAATTGGGTATCATTAGTAGGCACTGATGGAGTAAGATGTAATAATCTGATCTGGCACAGCCAGAAACAAAAGAGGATATAGCTGAACTGAAGAGCACAATGAGACAAACGAATTGTGTAAAAACCACGGTTCATATGCATATGTACCTTATTTGTAAAGAGAGTATATGTGACTCAAAGGAATGTGTCTCTGGTTAGATCTGCCTATCTGTGGCATTTAATCTGTTTTTTAGTGGATCACAGTTTTTCTACAATAAGGATTGAGGGCTTCCTATGAAGCTGATAACAGACAAGGAATTTGTACTTGCGCAGTTGTTTATATGTTTAGAGGAATTTGATGTTTTATGTAAATAATGCTAAGGAATTCAGTAAAAAAAACTATTCAGAATTCATAAGGCTACAAGTAAAGCTATCAAAAGTAGTAATTTCAAGAAAAACAAGATATTTGGGGTTGATTGGATCACAGATGATGCTAAGGGGTGGTTGAGGGCTGACCTGGACATGTTACAGCAGTCAGGAGAACAGTTCTGTTATTCCCACTTTCCCTGTCCTGTGTTGCTGTGAGAGACCTGCAGCTAGAGGAAGTTGTAGACGGGGAGTGCGAGCATGTGAAAACACATTAGTTCTTGGCATTTTGCCATTGTAAAAGAAGTACAGTGGTGCCTCACGCAACGGTCGCTCCGTAGAGCGACGAATCCACGCAACGATGCCATTTTTGCGATCGCAAATGCAATCGCAAAACGGCACCTAGATAGGGGAAAATTCACAGAGTGAAGGTCGGTAAGCGGTTCACTTACCGACCTTCGCTTTGCGACCCGCCGATCAGCTGTTCTGCGGCTTCAAAATGGCCGCCGGAACAGCCGAAAGGGCCGGGCGCCGCGCTTTCGCGCCCTCCGCCCCCCGCCGGACAGCTGATCGCAGCGTTTTCGCACCCTCGTTCAGCGAGGGGAGGGTGCGAAAATGGCTGCCGGCCATCCCGGAACATCGCACAACGGTGAGTATTCGGCTGAATTGGAACACATTAAACCATGTTTAATGCGTTCCAATGGCTTTTTACTTTCCGTTGAGCGATGTTTCACACAGCGAGGGTTAATCCAGAACGGATTAACCTCGCTGTGCAAGGCACCACTGTACTTGCTATTTCAGTTCTTAAAAACCTCTGTTTGAAGATGAGTGGCAACTCACTGTTCACACAATCTAAACTTTGGTAAAATAGAGGCATGAGTTCTGTGGGTGAGCTTATTTGTCCTATTGTTCTCTCCACATTATGGTGTTGGAGAAGTGTAGATAACAATTCCTTTCCTAGTGCCTAGGTTAGTAAGTGTACCCCACCTCCCAATTCCACTTCTGCGTGTCTTCACAGTATATTTACTGCATTTGAATAAAGCAAAAGCATCCTATGTTTAACATAATATACATTTATGGGAATATAATACATATTGTTTGTGAGACTTACTACTTGAAAACATGTCACGGATTCTTGAATTTATTTACTATCGGTATGACAGTTCCAAAATCAGTGCCCTGAAGATACTGATTAAACTACATTTTACTTACTTAACAATACAGTGGTGCCTCGCACAACGATGTTAATTGGCTCCAAAAAATTCATCACTGAGTGAATCATCATTCTGTGAAATACCATTTCCCATAGGAATGCACTGAAAACTGGTTAATCCGTTCCAATTGGAATGGATTGCCATCCTTAAGCGATAATCGCCATAGGAAGCATCGTTGAGTGAAACAGTGTTTCCTCCATTGAAATGCATTGCAGCCTTTCCAATGCATTTCAATGGTTTAGCGAAGTCAATTTTTGCAAATTTAAGTGTGTCATAAAAGGGTCAAAAACGGTTTTAAATGCTTGGAATAGCTTCTGCACCTTCTAAAATGGGTGCAAACATAATTTGGCTTTGATCTCACTTTTCGTTAATTTTTGCTTAATTTTCTTCCCCCGCCAACTTTTGACAGCTGTCAATATCTGACAGCTCCATTGTTTCCTATGGGGCACAAAAAAATTCCCCATAAATTAACGAAGACTCAGATCAAAGCCAAATCAGGTGTGCACCCGTATTAGAAGGTGCTTCAACGATCCCAAGCGTTTAACACTGTTTCTGAGTCAGTTTTCCCGCTCTTTTTCAAACATCGTTGTGCAAAACGGGGACCATTAAATGTCATCGTTCAGCGAATCAAGGTCCCAAAATCGCTCTGCGGATTTCCTCCATAGGACCCATCGCTGTACGAAGCATTAAATTTTCAAAAAAAAGGTCATCGCTGTGCGAATTCGTCGTTGTATGGAGCAATCGTTGTGCGAGGCACCACTGTAGTTATAGTGCACTCTCAAGTAATAATTCTAAAAATTATGTTCTGTTACACTGTCAATAGGAATTCTAAAGTTTCTTTATCATTACAGTGATACTAGTTTCTTAAGATGCTTGTGAGTTCAGTTAGGTGGTGCAATCAACTTTTCAGCAGGCTAGTTACTGAATCCTGGCCTTTTGACTCCCTCTTCCCCCTGCCTACATAAGGGGAATTTTCTTGTGGTTTAGAATTGAGAACAGTATTCTCTCTGACTGCCAATTGCTCTTTATAGGTATATCCACCTAGTTGTATTGGAGGCAGTCAGATGATTAGCACCAGTGATCTGACACCACATACCCTGTTCCCCTGAAAATAAGACCTAACCTGAAAATAAGTCCTAGTATGATTTTTCAGGATGTTCGTAATATAAGCCCTGCCCCTAAAATAAGCCCCAGTTAAGTGAAACCCCGCCCTCCACCATTGTGCAGCACCCAGAAGAAGATGACGTGACTGTTTGAATAAGTGTAGATTGTTGTACATGAAAAAAACAAAACATGCCCTGAAAATAATTTTTTTAAAAACAAAACCAACCCTGGGGGTCCTTCTAGATCTGGCAGTTACCATGGAAACACAGGTAGTGTCAGTGGTTTGCACCGCCTACTTTCATCTTAAGCGGATTGCCTAGCTGTGTCCCTATCTTGATGGTGGGGCGCTCACCATTCTGTTCCATTCACTTATAGTCTTGAGATTAGACTACTGCAATGCATTCTACATGGGGCTGCCTTTGAGACTGATGCGGAAATTCCAAATGATGCAGAATGTGGCAGCCAGACCTCTCACTGGGGTGAGAAAAATGTCAGCATATCTTCCCCACTCTGGCTGCCCGTTCAATTCTGCGTTGATTTCAAAGTATTAACAACAACATATAAAGCTCTAAACGGTTTAGGATCTCAATATTTGATGGAACACCTCCCATCTATATCTACCCGTATCACTCGTTCTAGCCAGGAGGGGTGGTTGAGGGGTCTAATGCCAAGGGAGGCCTGGAGAGAAAGAACAAGAAACCAAGCCTTCTCAGCAGTGGCCCCTTGTCTCTGGAACAATCTACACCCAGAAATTTGCCTGGCTCCCTCGCTGGGTGTTTTTAGGAGCAAGCCTAAGACCTGGCTCTTTAGGCAGGACTTCTCTCCTGTCATTATTTATTTTTGCCATCTTGTATCATATTATGTTGTTGTTCTCTTATATGGCTATTGTTTTTATGAAATTATTTTATGAATTTGCTGTTATCTGCCCAGAGTAGACTTCGGTCTATATGGGTGGGATATTAAATAAATAAAATAAGCCTTAATGCGTTTTTTTTTGGGGGGGGAGCAAAAATTAATAGAAGACCCTGTCTTATTTTCGGGGAAACACAGTATAAAGACACTGATAAATAACCACATATATATATATCATTTTGTACCAAGTCACATTTTTTATCCATCTTGATCACTAATTTCTAGAATTTGTTTCTTCCGGTGGGAGTGGATTTCTCTTAAGGATGCTCTTGGTAGCAGACGGGGAGTGGGAAATTTTTTCACATTTTGCATGCTGTCTGCAGCTCACAGCTTCTCCTTCCATACCCTTCTATAAATGTCTTCAACTCTCCAGAGACTTTTGGAAAGAATAGGGAAGACAAGAGAACTGACGAAATTGATTCTTCACCTGTTATCCCAGTAGAATTTCTCAGTTGGATCTAAAGTCCTCTTTAACTAGAATAGCCCTTTCATTCATGGAGGATAAAGTGTAGATGTAAGTCAGTAACTAGCAGTGGCTTTCCAAAATATCAGACACATCTGTACTTGATTAAATTGAACTAGAAAGAAGAAAGATGGTTGGATATGGAAGGTAAACAAAATAAAAGTTTCCCATCGCCTCCTCTAAAACTGTGTCTTTTCCCTCAAAAGTTTCTACAGAGGATAGAGTCCTGGACATTATGTGATGAGATCTGAAGGGAGAGCTGCTAATGAGCAGATTAGGAAATTTCTTTTTTGGAAACTTAAGTTATGATAATAATTGCATGCAATCAAGACTTTAAGTTAGGATGTATACTTTAAAATGCATGCATTATTAATATTCAAATGTCTTTCTTACAGTCCGTCAGCTCTCCACTCCAGTCACTTCAGCAGAGAACATGGCTCATTCACTGGTCTCTCTTTGTTTTCTTCAACCATCCAAAAGGCAGAGATAACATCATTGATCTCTTTCTCTATCAGCCTCAGTGAGTTGTGCTTTCAAAACAACAAATGGATTTATGGAATCTCAATTGTCCTGTTTTCTATCCTGAGAATATTTAGTGAGTTAATGGAAGTATTGGATGATTATTGCGAATTGCCAGCTTCCAGTAACCCTTGCTATGAAAGTGGTCCTTGTCCATCATAGTTTGAATCTGATTTCAGAATGCTACATGTAATGAATTAGTGTTAATGAATTGGGAGAGGTGCATAAACACTAGCTCTCAGATATAATAAAAATTAGAATTTGGTTTCTCAGACTGTTGTGTATTGTTAAAGTGAACGTGCAACTGTATGTTCCCTCACAATTTATGATGTAGTCCTATGCACTCACCTTTGAATAAACACATTTCAGTTAAGTAGAATAAAAGTAGGATGGGGACAATTGCTTGATTCCAAAATGCCAGCCCCCCCCCCCATTAGGAAAGGGAGGAAAACAGCTTTTAATTGTAAGGATTTCAGATGGCTGATTTTCCAGTGACACTACCTTAGAAAGCTAGGTCGCAGATTAGCAGTTTGATCTTGGGTATTCTAAGTTTCAGCATTTCTGAAATACAATGATTTGGAAAATATCAAAGTAGTGAATATTGAATGTGGAATTATGTTGTTAGAAGGCATCATGAATTTGGAAGATATATTATTTCAGAGATGACTTCACCTTTGATTGCTGTTATTGGTACTGTATTAAATTTAAAACATCCAAAGATGTTAAGTGTATTGGCTATCCATTTCACTGAAATTGGGTGGTGATATAAGTGTTGCATGAGGTAGTGCACTGATTCATTGTCATTTTCTATTGTTTTTCAGGATGTATGATTCATTGGTTATAGTCATTAGTATACAGACCAGACAGATAGTCCCTTTGCTTCCAAATAATTATGCTAGATTTGTATTATAATTTAGGTTGGCATCTGTTTTTCTCCTAATTCCAGTGGCATTGACTAGTTTCTGCAGCACATCAGGTTGTTAAAACATGCAGCAGTCCAGAAATTAGTGTGGAACTTGTACTTATGTACACTGAGTATTTATTATGTATTTATTAGCCATATCTTCTTGTGATATGGTTGGAGATGTAAAGTATGTGCACGTGAGTATACAGAAATATTACCAGTTTTGATATCTTCTCACCAAACATACAAAGAATAGCTTAATTCTATACATGATGATTCATGTATAGAAGACTCATTCAGGCATGCAAAGCATTGCACAGTTCATAATTATGTTAAAATGTGTTTTTAAATGGATTTAAAATGTATTGTAAGAGCAGGTGTATTAATTTAAGATAACACTTATCACCAATCAGAGATAAGAATGGGTTTCCCTATATAACTGAGGAAAGCCCCTCCTTCCATGCAGCCCCAGTGGATTGCTGTAGCAGAGGTATTTCCCTATAGGAGGAAACTGGGTAGGAACCGTGTAATATATAGTTGAATTTTGCATGTGGCCTTTAGATTGTATAGCTCAGGAATTGTCTAAAGTACATATTGAAGATCATACCAGGACACTGGTTATTCCCTGCCCTATAGCTTTCAACATGTGATTTTAAGTTGCCACTACAGTTTATTGGAATTGATGCACGTCTTAATGTGATAAGTGAATTAAATTTTGAATAACTTTTATTCCCTTTAAAAAAAAGATGTGCACAATTTCTTAGAATTTAGCAATTAGCTCTGGTGTTAAGTTAGACGTAAAAATACTTAAAATATACACCTGACATTGTAAAATAAGACCTGTGCCAGCTAGTGTCTTGTATTGCCAAGCAATTTTCTTGCCTTTCATTGCCTTAGAAAGTAAGGCAGATTATGCTTAAAAAGGGGCTTTCATTTTTGAAGGGATGTTTGAATAGTTAGCATGTCGTAAATAAAAGAATCAAAGCACATTTGAGGGGTGGGGTGTAACCAGCCCGATTCCGATCTGTTTCTTAACTTTAGAGATTACTTGATGGCTAAATTTATACTACCTTGATGGTTTGGGTAGGCTAGAATTGAGTAACATTAGGTAGATGGTGTCTCAAAAATTTTATTTCCATTTCAGTTTTTATTGAGAATCTGATATTCTTTTTACTCCTTCAGCTATACTAGATAGGTTTGACTGAGAGGGAGACAAATCTGAATCAGAAATGCCATGTTTTGCACAGGCCGTTGTTCAAGTAAAAATATGCTTCTGGCCTCAGGAACTTAGTCTTGCAGCCCTCTTCAGGTGCTCTCTTCTGTCTTTATCTCAAAATGGTGGTTGCTGAACAGGGACAAAAATGTGAAGCTAATGTTTAGAGTTTGTTTATAAAAGCTACAACCCAAGCCTCTGCTTAGAGGCAGATCCTTCTTCCTTCCTTTTCATGTTTCATGGTGGTGGTAGCAGTTGAACTTCATGTAGTGTTGGTGGTCCAGGAGAAGAAAGGTTTATGCCGGGAAGGAACCTTTACTGAGCCACTTTACACTACAACATCAATTTCTCCAAAGCTGCTGCTTCTCACTCTGAGTAATACTCTCTTTGTTAAGGTACCTTAATGCAATTCAGACAATGTGTCCACATATTCTTCGATACCTGACTACAGCAGTGATAACAAACAAAGACGTTCGGAAACGTAGGCAAGTTTTGAAAGACTTGGTCAAGGTTATTCAGCAGGTAAGGGATAATTTGTTCATATTTACTGCTTTTAAAAAATTCCCTGAGCCATTGTCATTCTATAGTGACCCATTACATATCTACACTAGGTACAGTAGAGGGAATTTTATTTTTGGAGACTGGCTTCTGGGCTGGAAACAGAGAAGGAATGAAGCATTTTATCCGTTTTGAAGCACTCTGTTGCACATTTGCATGGAATTTGTTGTCCTTTGCTGCCTGTCCAGTACCTAAATGCAAGGTTGTTAGAAATTGTATTGTGTAATTCACTCAGTACATACCAAAATCTATGTATTGCTTAAAAGTATAAGTGTGTGTGTTGATTAAAATGTAACATCAAGATTAAATTACCTTTTCTGAAATACTTTGACTATTATTGGATGGGTATATGAATTCAAGTGTGCATTCTTAAGGGATCTTGGCTTGTAGCATCATTGAGCTATTGTTGCTTGAAGCCACCTGGACAAATACAAATCTTTGTTTTGCGTATCATATCTGACACTCAATATAGTTTCTGTTTAACTTTCCATTAAATATTACTGTCTCATGATTGATTCTTTCTAGGGTAATTGTGTCACTGTAGTTTTAAAAGATGTTTACTTGATACAAATGTTTTTCATAACACGCTTCTGGAGTACTACTAGGAGGTATTTAATTGAACATCTGTTCCTTAATTTGCAGGAATCTTATACCTACAAGGATCCAATAACAGAATTTGTAGAATGTCTATATGTAAACTTTGACTTTGATGGCGCTCAGAAAAAGTTAAGAGAATGTGAATTGGTAAGAAGCACAGTCTTAATTAAAAGCCACTATGATGCATTAAATCTAAGAAATATCTTACTTTAATGTATATTTGATATGTTTTCAAAAAGATTAATGTTGATCAAGCAAAATGTGGTTCGTAAGGAATCAAGAAGGAATAGTTGAAAAATATGATAGCCTTTCTTTACCAAAGGCACATGCCAGATTGCTGTGTGGTCTTATGAATAGTTTCTTGCTTGCCAGGAAAGAGGAGAATAGCAAAAATCCCACCTTCCACCTAGCCCTTTGATCACAATGAAACTGTCCCTTTGCATATAAAAACCATCCTACAGATACCTTAAATAATATATATATTTATTTACAGTTTATCTTCAGTTACAGTCAGAAGAATTAAAAGGGTAAATAAATTACAGTCTCAGCCATTCAGGAGATTGAAATCGACTATGCTGGCCACATGGCCAGAGAAGAAGAGAGGAAAAGAATTAACAAGTTTGCTCTGATAGAAGGTCAGAGAAGGAGAGAGAGGGCAAATAAACAACTGGAAGCAAACAGACAGGAAGTGGGTGGTGGGTGGCGGCTTGCTGTAAGCTCAGGGGGAAAAGGACTTTGCTAATTGGCTAGTGACAAGGCACAATTATGTTTCTCTGTGGAGCTCCCTTCCTCCCACTGAAACCAAGTGTTGTTGTTTAGTCGTTAAGTCGTGTCCAACTCTTTGTGACCCCATGGATCAGAGCATGCCAGGCCTTCCTGTCTTCTATTACCTTCCGCGTCCTCTGTTGTCCCCTTCTTCTCTTGCCTTCACAATTTCCCAACATCAGGGTCTTTTCCAGGGAGTCTTCTTTTCTCATGAGATGGCCAAAGTATAGGAGCCTCAGCTTCAGGATCAGTCCTTCCAGTGATCACTCAGGGTTGATTTCCTTTAGTGAGCTGGGGGTTTATGTTTCTGTGCTGTAACGGGTCTTGGGGGCATTCGTTGTTTTTTTTTTTAGGTTCCCCCGATTTCTGATGGGTCTTGGGGTTTTTTGGGGGGGAGTGTCTGCCGTTCTTTTTTTTCCCCATTTCAGATGGGTCTTTGGGGGGCTTGTTTTTTGGCTTTCCCCCATTTCCAATGGGTCTTGGGGGATTTGGTTGGTTTGGGGGTTTTCCCCCATTTCCAGGGGGTCCTGCATACTTCCTTTGCTTTTTCCATTATTTTCTTTGCTTTTCCGACCTGTTCCCTTTGTTCTCTGTGAATTTCCAATCTGCTCCGATTGTTTTCTGTGCATCTCCAATTGGTCTTGCATGTTTGATTGCTTCCCCCTCCCCTTTGGCCAGAAGGGATTAATCATGTTTCCAATTTGTCTTGCAGTGATTTTTTTTTTTTTTTTTTTTATTTTT